CACAAACAGAATGGGAGCAAGCATATATTCATGTTGAATTAAGTTGAGCATTTGCATGTACACATACAACCAGTTTAACTTATCAAATATCCAATTTAAAATGCCTTAAACAGTCTTTATATCCAGTTAAACATTTTCTCAGATTACAATACATGCTTAAAGTATTTCATTGGACTTTCACTGGGTCTGAGACTGAAAAGTATCAGCTTCGATTAATTAATTAGGGAGAAAAAATACGAATGAACAAACTTAATCACATAGTGGATTTTAAATCCATTTCATTAAAGCTTATGCAATTGCATGCAGCCCATAATGACAGCTAGCTCTGTCCCTCTCTAATGCGGTGGTGAATAGAGGTTTAATGATAAGTGTACTGGGATTAAACAGAACTGGATAACATAAGTACAAGTACGTCAACTTTGCTTTTAATAAAAAATTCACTGATTATTGTTACCACAGAGACCCAATAATTCAAAAGCCAGAGAATAAATGTAATGGAATATTGGGAGTGGTGGCCTAGTGGTTAGGGCATTGGGCTTTGAATCCTGAGGTTGTGAGTTCGATCCCCCACTCCCACAGACTGCCACTCTGGGTCCCTGAGCAAGCCCCTTAACCCCACACTGCTCCCCGGGCGCCTCACAATGGCAGCCCACTGCTCCCCAAGGGGATGGGTTAAATGCAGAGAAGTAATTTCCCTCTGGGATTATTAGAGTATATATATAAAACAGCTACAAATGAGTTAGTGTTGGTATGCTAGCATATTAATCGTGAAAGTTTTTTCTGTTTTTAGATCGTTGACTTGTAGTCAGAGTGACGGGTAAGAGGTTAAAGAAAAATAATCAGCATGTAAACACAGAATACATAAAGAAGGTAAACACATCTAAATATATATAAGTTAATGAGAGAAACACTGTGGATTAAAATATAGCAATATTTCATTTTTTTCAGCTAATTAGTTGCATAATTTCCAATATTGTAAAGTATAAAGCTCTAGTAATACCCATATAACATCAATCGTGATAAAACATTGTCTTTTCATGAGGTCCTATCTCACCTGTTGTTTGGGGGGCTAGTTTTAGACAATGACCTAACAGAAGGTATCTGGAAATTGTGAAGTGCTAAACATCTTTTCTTCAGTTTTTCACAAATACATATTTGATAGCTGTTGGGTGCCTTTCAGTTCTTGATATTCCAAAATAAGATCCATTGTGTATAATGTAATATTGATCTAATTACAGCTATTCTGCTAAGTATTTAGAGGAGATACAGTATAATACATTGGACATGTCTAAGACCCAAGTTCAGTCCACCAAATAAAAATGGAAAGATACGGAAAAACAAAACCAATCAACATGGTTTTCCAAATACATTGACAAGTTATGCAAGGAAACCATTAAAGTAACAATCAAGCAAAATACCAATGGTAACTCCAGAGGAGCTGCAGACATTTATAGCTAGGATAGTACAGTCTGCAGACAAAGCTATTCATTGTGGACTTCATAAAGCTATCCTTTATGAATGAAAGACAGCCATGGAGGACAGAATGCCATAAGAAGCCCAGTTCACAGTTTAACACCAGCCATTCAAGGGACAAAGTAAATGTGAAAAAAGTGTGACAGAGTAAATATGATCAAATTAGAAAAAAATACAATTTCTAAATGGAATAATATGCATACAGACAAGTTACTTTTAATATTCTTAACGCTACAGGACTAAAGTTAGATCAATATGAGTTTAGATCAAAGTATATGTGTATCAGAGTGGCCGGATCTCAACACAGCACTGAATTCATTCCAAGAACCAGTAGCAACACTTGTAACCCTCTATTCAGCCTAACTAAAGTATGGCTATTTTGAGTGGACAGAGCTGTGGTGTCTAGATGGCTTTTATTGGTAATGACGAACCCTAAAAGACTTGCAGCTGTTATTAAAGTGATAGGTTGTTCTACAATCTATTTACCTGGTTAGACTGCAGAGTTGCAAGTGTTTATAATGCAAAATAATAACAGAAAGGTTCAGGTGCTGTGAATAATTTTGCAATATAGTATAACCATATATCAATTGAGAGAAAATGGAAACTCAAATATTTTAGTTGAGAGAAATCACTCTGAGACAACAGCACAGGGGTATGTCTGGATTATGGAAATACTGTTAATACCAGGCACAGTTCCAAGCAGCACCTACCACTTTCTCCTCTTACACTTATCTCATTTAGGCCCTCTGCAAGCACCATCTCAAAGGAGAGTGCTGTTGCAATACAGACCTCATCACATATCCTTGTTTTCCTTAGACATAACAGACACAAATGCACAGACACTTATGTTACATATAGGTATCACCTACACACCTACACTTTAAATCAGACCGTGGTATACCTTTCCACCCACACAGGCAAACATGTGATGTCTGGTTTTGTTTACAGAAGTGTGTGCAACTCAAGAGTCCATCTCTCCAAAATACCAGTCATGTGGTATTACCTCCTGCAGAGTGGTAAGCTGTTCCCTTCTAAATCCAACATGAGAAACAAATGTTGCTTTGCCTTGTATGAAATTCACAGTTGAAGCACCAACTGTGTACGCTCCCAAGCTTGTGCCAAATGAACAAAGCACTGAGCCAAAAAAGAAGGAAAGGCTGAAGAAACATGTTATTGGTTCAGAAGTGTAAAACCTGCCACTGTGCTCCAAAAGCCAGCAAATTGGAATCCAACACAATTTTCCACCTAAAATAAGTGTTGAAATACAGGCTTGGCATGCCCCGGAATATCATGTCAGGGCTGATTTCTTCCTAAAGTCTGAGAGTATGTGCTCGCAGAGTTAGTTAAGGTGCATATTGAATATTCTCCCTGTTATCCACTTACTTTCTTTCAGAGCTTTTTTCCTAAAGGCTAAACAGAAACCCCTCGATTGCATTTTGATAAATATCTTTTATTACAAGAAAAATGTTTAAACATCAATAATTATGTGCCTCATATTTACCAAATCAATGAAAATAATAAGACTTGGACTTGTTCCAATGCTTTTTTTAAACTGTGCATAGTTTGACTCTACCAACCTGCATTGTGACTGAGGGCAGGGAGGGACCCGACACTATACAGAGGGTCTGTATTTAGGTCTGATTTATTAAAAATGTCAAACACTGCAGAGCCTAATGAGGGGCCCATTCACAACCCAACAACACCTATGTGATCTCATCTCTATTTGTATTCCCTGCACCGCTATGATATTTGGCAAACTGCGGTCTAGACGGGGGTCTTACATGCACCACGTGGAGCAATCTCTCACATAAAAGGGCAGTTCAATATGAAATTAGATTTTGTATTGCTCCGTTTTTTGTCTGAGTCCGGTATAATCAATAAACAGTTACTAACTAAATAGAGTTTTAGAAAGAACCAACAGAGCCTCATGATAAGATCTGCTCACCTCTTTAGCAAATAAATTTATCATACCATAATGGCAGATGAAATGAGGGTGAGTAAATGAACAAGCATGGATGAAGAAATATGATTGTTCAAACATATTCAAACATCTTTTTTTTATTTAACTGATGCTGAACATAAAAGAATCTGATAAGGAAAAAAAAAAGATGTAAAAACAATGTGTGTCAATTAGGCTGAAATTAGGCTAAGGGCAGATTCACACTACTGATCCAGTCCAGGTCTGTCCACGGAAAGTGAGATAATTCACACCTTTAGTTTGCCCAGTTTAAACTGAAAAAGAGATTTTTCTTGACACTGCCAAACAATGTATCTGAATGACGGCTTGGATGCACATTGATACAATCACCTCCTGAAACTGGTTTTAGGCACAGTTCCAAAGGTCTGCTTTACTTTGAGGTTTACTGGAAAATGCTTTTAAAATATTTTGAGAAAATATGTGAAGTGAATTTATCATCAGAACCTTTTAACGGGACAACCCTACATAACATCTATTGCAATCAGTTGCACTGCAAAAACGTTCTGAAAATGGGTACAAATTTCTTTAAACAAATGTATTTAAATTTGAGTAGGAAAATAAGATGAGATGCCAATGGAATGACCATTTTTACCCTTAAAATAAGATAAATTAGATATTATGCACTTGAAAAAAGAGACTGTAGTCTTTTTTTTCTTATTTTAAATGTAAATTGTCTTATGCCACTGGCAAAGAGTCTTACTTACCTGCTCAATTCAAGAAGAAATGCACTTGTTTTAAGAAAAATTTACTTTTTGCAGTGTGCCTTCTGAAGTTGCTTTAGTGATTATAAAACAATATACCAAACTGAGCATCTTATTAAATATTCAATCAATCATCTAAGGGAAGCTACAACAGCATGGTTGTCCATCTAAACTAGTATGTTACTCCAGGAAGGTATTAACCAGTGAAGCCGCCAAGAGAGAAACGGTAACTGTGGAAAAGCACACTTTCTCCCTTGAAACATGATGGTGACAGCAGCATCATGCCGTGGGGTTGCTTGTTTTTATACCAATCTGGAAGTTTATAAGAGAAAGAATAATGTATTGACTCTAGGGTTGATTGCAGTAGTTCTCTTTCCATTAATTCAGGTTTCATGCTGTTAATATTCTTTTGAGTGAACCTATTGATTTGTGCAACTAAAGCACCGTGGGTCCCACACATCTTCAATACAAGTGGTGGTAAGCAAATCAACAGTAACAAAGCGGAGATAGAATAATAGAAGAGGCAAGAAGGAAGAGATCCCACACCCCACCGCACCCCACCCCCGCAACCCTCGGGTCTTTTTGCCCGGCTTTGAATAACAGTCAACACAACTGGGGCCTGTTCATACCAGCCAGCAATGTCTGAGCTCAGCGCCTCCCCGCACATTCGGCAAATTAAGGAAATGAAAAAATCAACGATCCGCACCAACAATTTCACATTATCCTATTCACCATTGCAAGCTCACAATGCTGAAAAGGATGGATCGGGGAGGTGTGTGTGTGTGTGATTGTGCACTACTGAGGGCAAAAATTGTGGAGTATTTATTATGAGATGTGGATAAACTTACCAGCTGAGTGCCCTCGATTTGTAGCATCATGGTCACTGTCACCCTGTTCACTGTCGCCGTGACCACTGTCTTTAGAACTGACAATGTCTGCTTCTTGAAATGCAGAACTAGAAAGGGACCCAGGGAGAGAAGAGGAAGCACAGACAAAGAAAGAATGAAGATGGTTGCAAGGCAAATGGCACAGAAAGTGTGGAGGAGGATTAAATGAGAGGGCAAAGAGACAGAGAGGAAGAATCAGAAGTCAACACCATGCTAATGCGGTCATGGTAGCCATCAAGAGCCTAAATTGGATGTTACACATGGCAAGTAATGAAATCCAGCATTAGGGCTTTAATAGATGCCGCTCTGTCAGTTATAGGACTCATGCCAAATTAAAGATGAACGTTATGGATATGTTGGGAACTGTGCCGGCTTTTAAAACCTCAATTAATGATGTAGATACTGATGGGCATAGTGTTCACTTTAGAGCTGGTCCAAGGCTGTATTGGGTCCTGAGATTCACAATTTGATTTGGGAGTCTTTCAGAAACCATCATCCTCAACTTCAAAGGAATATCCTGTCTGCCATAATCATGTTGAAGGTCTGGGTTTGTACATCTCACATAATAACAATTAGAACACTTTCTCTTCACTTTTGCAGTTTAAATGACTGTAATGTGTAGACAGGTGGAACATAAAGACAGCTATACCAATTTACAACATCAAGCTTTTCAGCCATTAAATGCCTACATATTTACTAAGAAATAAAAAGTTTAATTTGTCTACACTGATTTGCACAATAATTAAGATTTTAATTTTGAATCATCACGGGTTTTAGTTTTGCACAGTTACTTCTACTGTGTCTCTCAAACAATAAATTGTTTATAAATAATCTTAAGAAACTGACATGTAAAACCTTATTGCCTAGTTGACAACGGTTAGCGTGTAATTTTCAGCTTCTGATTCAATTTTCACTGCATTTAACAAACCCTAACAAGCTTTACTCTGCTTGCATGTGTTTTCATCAGAAAAACTTTGCAAGCTCAACGTTCCAATTTGCGAATATATGCTTCTTCTACATTCTATAAAACTAAAATTTAAAGTTCCTAGTTGGAAAAACTGAAGTTTTGGTAATTATAGAACATTGTTTTTTTTTTTTTTATCTTAAGGGCAAAACCTACAAATTACAGTTCATTTGGCAGGAGTGCAATTTAGACTAACTTAACAAAAACTTAAATCACTGTTCTTATTTTCTCATACAGAATACAGTTTTTTTTTTTTTTTTCAAATCAAAAACAGCATTAGAATCTACTATTAATGTAAAAAGTTCTGTCAAAGCCTGACCCTTTTACCTGGACCAAATGAGGTGGTCACCAGCCAGAAAAAAAGCCGTGTAATTATGCTGGTGAAGATTTTTGATGGGCTACTGTATAAAACCTCAAACTCAACGCTATTCCTGACATTTTGAAATGAAAAAACTTCCTGGATGGGAGGCGAAACGTCTTCAAACATGAAAACAAAGTCCAGTGGATTGTTTTTTGTTTTTGTTTTTTTTTTACTTTTTTGGAATGCCTTTTACATTTTCACAAAACTAATTGAGGTTACAGCTCAAAAACAGTACTTTACATAATTTACCATTTGTGCAAAATTATTCTACTGGAGTTTGACCTATCTGGGTAATGTTTTCTTTAAGTTGAAAGATGATCTGAAACAATTGAACTCTCCAAATTTCCCTGCTCTGATTTATTTTTTAAATACTGGGTCAAAGACAAACCATGTTTTACAGAATATTTTATCAGCTAATAAGTTAGTTCAAATTCAGTCTTTTTAAATATTAAATGCTTCAAACTGAAGACTTAAGTAAGTGCAGATATGTTAAATGCAGTGAAAAAGCCCTTTAGCCAAATATTGATTTCAAAAGGCAAAAACAGGATACAAATTGAAGTGTCATAAAGAGACTGTGGATCAGTTTCAGTCTGAAGCTTTTTAAGTTCCTCTGATGGTGGATGCTGGTAACTAAGTTGAGATGAAAAGAGATGAATGAGTGTTTCTGTGCATCACATCGTGTATTGTTAACTACCTGTTGACACGCCTCGGTCTGTCCACCAGATAGCTGAGTTCTGCTCGTTGGTGTTTTGTCTGGAAAGCCCACAGAAAAAACACATGTGATCACAACCAAAGCCAAACAGGCAGATGATAAAATAAATAAAATAAAAAATACCAGAGTGAGAATACAAAGATAGACTGTAAAATGATCTCAGGGGAAGCGTTGGTGGCACCAGGTGGGTTACCAACGATGTGTGCATCCACTTGGTGAGAGAGTCAGGGTGAGGAGATGAGAGCGAGGGGTGATG